CTCCCCGCAAGGCTGTCCACTGGCCAGCTCTCCAGGCTCCTCCTGCTTTGGTTTTTGCCCTCATCCGGATCAATTTTCAGAACCAGCAAGAGAAACTAAAATTCCAGGCCTGGTCTCCTAAAAACAAGAACCCCCGTCTCCATGGTGGGGGAGGGACCCCTAGGAGGTGTGGCACCGGTCCACGTGGGGTGCCACGAGCCTGTGGGCCACAGGGAAGTGCACGGGCCTGTGCCCCTGCTGACGGCCGCTGCCACGCTGGGCTTCCCGCGTGCTGTGACTTTTATTCGTGCCTTGGGCCCCGGCAGGAGCCAGGGACAAGGAGGTGGGAGGGAGGACTGTGGCCGGGCCAGAGCCCCTGGACGGTAGGTCAGAGCTGCACGAGAGTGGCCTGGCTCCCGGCGCCTGCAAAGCGTGTCACTGCCCCCAGCGTGGCAGGTGCTGGGGCCGGACTGTGGCCGCCGTGGTGAGCAGCCTGCAAGCCCGGGCGCCTGGGATGGAGTCTGGAGCGGGAACCTTCGCCCACTCTAGAGCTCAGACTGTGTGTGTGCTGAGGAGGGGGCCGTGAGCTCCCTTCCTCAACCTCTGCGTTGGTTTTCCCTTTCAGTAATCACAGGGTGGGCGTGGTGACCCCCAAGGGCCCTGGTGACAACCCCCCCCCAGGCTGGCATCAGATCGCCTAACACTTTCCTGGCAAGGGGACGCGGCTGTGTGCGGGGAGCCCGTCGAGGGTGGGGGCGGGGGCAGCCGGCCACTCGGCGCCCCCGCTGCCCAGCACGTGCCGGACACCCTGGGCACGGCACGCCCGCTCCTGCTTTACTAGCCGGGGGCTCCGGGTCCCCTGGGTGTCTGCTCACCTTGGTGAGCGAGGAGGAGGAGCCTGGAGACACTCCTTCCGCCCCCCCCCCCCCCCGCAGGGTCTCTCCGCTCCGGCTGGGCCTTGAGGACCAGGGGCCGCCAGCAGGGGTGACGCACAGACTGCTGGGCCAGGTTGCTGGTGGCTCCCTGTTGGGGCTGGCCCTGGAGGAGGCACCTGGGGGAAGCCACAGAGCTGAGTGGCGCTCACCGCGCCTTTGCTGCCCTGGGCACTCCGCGAGAACACTTCTGGGAGCCGCCAGGGAGCAGGCACAGGTCCAGTGCTCTGGCCTGGCGCTCTGGGCCAGGGAGAGGCAGGCGGAGGGCGCCAAGCGCAAATGCGTGCGCCACCAACTTCTGGCTCCGGATAAAGGACAATGGCTTCTCCTCACTGTAGGGTTTTTAAAAAAGTGTTTTAAACTCCCTTGGCGGGGGGTGGTGGGTCTTCCACCTGCCAGTTAACCCCCAAGTGCCTGCAACCGCTAGCCGGACGCCAGGTGCTCCATGGGGGCTAAGTCGCTGGCAGGAAGCTGGACGGGAGGCAGAGGTGGCCCCCAGCCTGGGCCCCCAGTGTGGGCCGTGGGCGTCCCAGGACGGCTCACCCCGCGGTGCCACAGGGTCTGCTCCACGGTGGAGGGTTCCAGGACCCTAAGACCACCCCGGCCGGAAGGGGTGGGGGGTCCCCAGATCAGCATTAACTCCGGATTAAGCCAGGGCTGAGGCAGCCCCTCTGTTGCGACAAGCGCTGGGCTCTGCGGGAGACCTGGTGTTGTTTTCACTGGAAACCAACACGTCCTAGGTTACAAAGCTGCTATTACGCACCCGTGTGAGTTCTTTTTTTTTTTTTTTTTTTAATTTATTTATTTGTGAGGCAGAGTTACAGACAGAGGCAGACAGAGAGAGAGAGATTGGTCTTCCATCTGCTGGCTCACTCCCTAAATGACCACAACGGCCGGAGCTGCACTGATCCGATGGCAGGAACCAGGAGCTTCTCCTGGTCTCCCATGGGGTGCAGGGCCCCAAGCACTTGGGCCATCCTCCACTGCACTCCCAGGCCACAGCAGAGAGCTGGGTCTGAAGTGGAGCAGCCGGGACTAGAACTGGTGCCCATAAGGGATGCTGGGTTGTAAGCAGCAGCAGCAGCCTAACCCGCTAGGCCCCGACAGTGATGTTTTCCATCGAGACAACGCCTTTAACAGTTCTCACCCTTGGGGCCGGCGCTGTGGCGTAGCGGGTGAAGCCGCCACCTGCAGTGCCGGATCGGCGCAGCTCCGGCCATTGTGGCCATCTGGGGAGTGAACCAACAGATGGAAGACCTCTCTCTCTCTCTCTCTCTCTCTGTCTCTACCTCTCTCTGTGTAACTTTCAAATAAACAAACAAATCTTAAAAAAAAAAAACAATCCTCACCCTCCTGCCACCTCACTGAGTGCTAAGAATTTCTCGGGCCAGGAGCTGGGGAGGAAAGCCAAGGCAGGGCCCTGGCCGTCCCCGAGGGAGGGCCGGTGCCTGCTGCAGGTCTCCCCGCCCCCGGCAGCTCCGCTCACCCCGATGCGGCCCCACGATAACTCCCTCAGCCTGCGGCCCACACCAGGTGTGAATGCAGCGCCGCCGGCCACAACCCCAACCCCAGGGGCTCAGGCCTCCAGGATCCGGGCCGGGACGTCACCTGCGAGTCAGCTTCCCGGCCTGCAAAGCTCCTGTTTGGTGGGCGCTGCGGCACCAGCATCCCAAATGGGCGCAGGTTCGAGTCCCGGCTGCTCCTCGTCTGGGAAGGCCGCAGAAGCTGGCCCAAGAGTTAGGGCCCCTGCACCTGCGCGCGAGACCCAGAAGCAGCTCCTGGCTCCTGGCTGCAGCCTGGCCCAGCTCCGGCCTCTGCAGCCATCCGGGGAGTGAACCAGCAGATGAAAAACCTCTCTGTAACTCTGCCTCTCAAATAAATAAACCTTTAAAGAAAATTCCGTTTCTCTGAGTTTTTGCAAAGTTTAAGCCAAACGCCTTATGCACCACGCGGTATCCACGGATTCAGTGGGCCGGGGGCGCTGCTTGGGCTCTGGGATGTTAGAACACAGGGGAAGCTAACGTGCGGGCCGGCTTGGCCGCCCGGGTCAGCGGCCCGCCGGCTTGGCCGCCCGCCCGGCACCCAGCCCTCGCTCACCCACAGCGGCCGCCTCGCCGGCGGGGGCGGGGCCCATCGATGCGCTCCGCCGATCGGCTGCCCACGCCTGGGCCCGGCCCGTGCGCGCCCCTCCCCCTCCCGGCCGCTTCCCACTTCCAAGATGGCCGCGGGCGGAGCCGACCAGGTAGGGGCCCCCGGCAGGTGTCCGCGGGGGCTCTGAGAGGACCCAGGCCCCCTTGGCGCTTCCCCTCGGGGCTCTGCGTGGCCCTCGGGGCAGAAGAGCGCCGGCGACGCCGCTCCTCAGACTCGCGGCTGGCAGACCAGCGGGCGGGAGGAGGGGCAGCAGGCGAGCGTCGAGCTCAGAGCGTGCAGGCGCGGCCGCGGCGGGGGCGACGGCCCGGGCGGAAGAGCGGACGCGGGCCGGCGGGGGCGTGGCGAGCGCGGGGCGGAGCGAGCGTGTGGGCGTGGCGCGGGGCGGGGCGACGGCCCGAGCGGAATAGCGGACGCGGGCCGGCGGGGGCGTGGCGAGCGCGGGGCGTGGCGTGGCGGAGCGAGCGTGTGGGCGTGGCGCGGGGCGGGGCGACGGCCCGGGCGGAAGAGCGGACGCGGGCCGGCGGGGGCGTGGTGAGCGCGGGGCGGAGCGAGCGTGTGGGCGTGGCGCGGTGGCGGGGCGACGGCCCGGGCGGAAGAGCGGACGCGGGCCGGCGGGGGCGTGGCGAGCGCGGGGCGTGGCGTGGCGGGGCGAGCGTGTGGGCGGGGAGTGGGGCGGGGCGAAGGCCCGGGCGGAAGAGCGGACGCGGGCCGGCGGGGGGCGTGGGGAGCGTGGGGTATGACGAGCGTGTGGGGGCGGGGCAGCGCGGGGCGTGGCGTGGCGAGCGCGCGGGACGGGGTGTGGCGGGCTGTGGGGGCGTGGCGAGCGCGTGGGGCGGGGCGAGGCGCGGGCCGCTGTTCGCTGCGGGCGGCTCGCGCGCACCTGCCGGCCGGACCTGCCGCCTACCGCGCGCCCGGCGTCCTCGCGCCCAAGTTGCAGCGGCCGCGGGGTCTGGGCTGCTGGCCCGCAGGCCCCGGGAATGGCGTCGGAGCCGAGCTGACTCCGGTATGCAGGGCCTCCCCGGGGCCGGGCAGAGGCGCGCGGGGCCTCCTGCCACCTGCTGCGGCCGGCGGGCGCGGGGAGCGGCCTGAGGCGAGGGGCCCTCCGCGCACGGCCACACGGCGCGCGGGGCCTGGCCCCTCGGCGGCAGCGCGCTCTGACGCTCGTTTCCCGGGACTTGAGGAAAAGTTTTTCCCCGCAGACGCGAAGGCTCCAGCGCGCCGGGCGCGCGCTGCGCTCGGCCCCCGGGACCCCAGCTCCTCGGAGCCCCCGACCCCACGCAGGCCGAGCCGCGGAGAGCGTGGCAAAGACCCCGGCCCGCGGGACTGGTCCCGCAGACTACGTGGAGCCCCGGCCCGCGGGGGGGGGGTGTCCGTGCCCGCGTCCTGGCTGCTTCGCGCCGTGTGGAAGCGGGAGCCCTGCGTGGACAGGTTCCGTGGGCACCTGGCTGGAGGCGCCGGCCTGGACGCGGTTACCGCGCTTGCTGAGGCCCTGGGGTGCCCCGCGGCCCGAGCACCCTGCCCGGGTGTGCGCAGGACGTCGGCTGGGCTGGGCACCGGCAGGTGCTTCGCGTGGCCAGCAGCCTTGGGACACCCGTGGGGCCGATCGGCCCGTGCAGCTTCTCCGGGAGCCCTAAGGCCAACCCGGCCGCCCGGGTGCCCCTCCCCGGCGGTCTCCCTCTTAGGTTTGACCCCTTGAGACGCTGGCCGCACGGCCCTGAGGAGGCCGGGAGGGGCAGCGGGTGGGTTCAGCCTTGGAAACGGAGCCGAGCAGCCGGATGAGAGAGGCCGAGGTGGGGGCTCCTTGGGTTCTCACAGCCCACCCAGCCCCCCGGCCTCCCTAGGGCCTCGCCCACGGGGTGGGTGCTGTCCCCCGGGCCCCTGCTTCCCCCCCTTGTGCTCCGAGGCGGCCCCTCCAACAGTGGGCCCCTGGTGGAGCGTGTGGCCCTCACGGCCCCGGTGTCCGCGCGGGGACCGTGGTGGCCAGGATCCGCCGTCCGTGTAGACAGTCGTGCGCAGTGTGTGAGCGGGGATCTTAGGAGCGGGGTGTTAGGACCGGGGACGGAGAAGTTTTTTGGGCTCGGCTGGTTCGGAATTCGTGGTGGTGGAGCGGAGAGGCCGGCCCTTGGCTGGTCTCCCGGCGTCCAGAGGGGACCGGGCGGCCCACAGCTCGGGCAGTGCCGCAGGTCAGGTGTGGGGGGAGGTGTCAGTGCCAGGAAGAAGCCGTGCAGCGAGGCCACGGGCACAGGGGCGGGCAGACGGGCTTATGCAAATGGGTTGCTAAAACCGTGGGGCTGCGTTGGCTGTCCCTATTCGGGGCCCAGCAAAGAATAACACCAGCACGGCTTACTCGTGCCAGGCCCCATGCTGACGGCTTCGTGTGGATTTCTGCCCTAATCCTGCCCTGCCTGAGGAGACGGGGTCTGGTGCTGTGCCCGTGGTTCTGCAAGGCCGGAGCCCGGGCACTCGCTTTTCCAGAGCCTGCGTTCCTGTTTGTCGTATTTTTAAAACTTTATTTATTTGAGAGGCGGCAGAGAGACAGAGCTCCAGCCCCGTGGCTCACTGCCCCCGCAGTGCCGACAGCGGCTGCGATCGGGCTGGGCCAGCGTCCAGAGCCAGAAACTCCATCCGGGTGTCCGGTGCAGGCGGCAGGAACGCCGTCACCTGAGCCGTCACCGCTGCCTCCCAGGCCGGTCAGCAGGGGACACCCCAGCCGGAGCCTTCGCCCCGAGCTGCAGGCTGCCCGTTCGTGGGAGGCCGAGCGCAGGAGAGCTTGGGCTTGTCGAGAATCACAGCGCGTAGGCCCCGTGTCGCAGAGACACAGGGAGAGCGAGGTCTTCCATCCTCCGGCTCACTGGCCGGGGCTGGGCCAGGCCGGAGCCCGGAGCTTCTCCTGGGTCTCCCACGTGGGCACAAGGGCCCAGACGCTCGGGCCGTCTCCGCTGCTTTCCCAGGCCACAGCAGGGAGCTGGATCCGAAGTGGAGCAGCCGGGGCTGGGACCAGCGCCCATATGGGATGCGGCCCTGCTGGCCCCGGGGGCTGTACTCCTCCGTGCTCCTGTGTGGGCTTTGCTGTCGGACCGGTTTGAGCCAGCCCCTGCTGACCTTGCCTTCTGTGTGTCCTGGTTTCTCTGGGGCCCGTGGCAGGCTCGTAGGGGTCGGGGCGCGTGCGGAGGCTCAGCGAGTGGCCCGTCAGTCAGTGAACGCGGACGGACGTGAGGACATGACCTTGAGACGCCCTGCCTGTGCCCTTGAACGTAGTGCCCCGAGGGCGTTAAAGGGTCATGCGGGACCCTCGGGCCCTCAGCAGGGTGACCCCGACTCCTGCCTGGTGGCTGAAGCGGGACCCCACTTCCCACCCGTCTGAAGAGCTGTGGAGTGTTCCGGATGCTCTCCCTCAGCAACACGCCGAGGTGCCCGGCACAGGAATCCCCGGATCAGATTTCTCCCACAGAGCAGCCCGTGTAGACGCCAAGCTGCTGTTACGACTGCTTTTCCGTTCCACACCGTGCGGAGGAACCCGTGACTTTAGGGAAGGGTAATCCTCTTAGGTCCAGACCCGGCGGGCTCTGTGCAGCTCCCCAGTCTCCTGCCTGGGAAGTGTTCGGAACACGCCGAGGTCCCTGCGCGGTGCTGGGCTGCCGAGGCCCTGGGTGCCACCCTGGAGCCTGGGACCCAGCGTGGGCGGGACCCTGGTCCTTTCTGTCCAGACCAGGGCCTGGATCGAAAAGGGAGAGACTCAGAGTGGGCTTGTGGAGCCCCCTCCCCCACAGCGGAGGGGCGCGTGCAGTGGGCTTGTGGAGCCCCCCCCACAGTGGAGGGGCGCGTGCAGTGGGCTTGTGGAGCCCCCCCCACAGTGGAGGGGCGCGTGCAGTGGGCTTGTGGAGCCCCCCCCCACAGCGGAGGGGCGTGTGCAGTGGGCTTGTGGAGCCCCCACAGTGGAGGGCCGCGTGCAGTGGGCTTGTGGAGCCCCCCCCACAGTGGAGGGGCCGTGTGCAGTGGGCTTGTGGAGCCCCCGCAGTGGAGGGGTGCGTGCAGTGGGCTTGTGGAGCCCCCTCCCCCACAGTGGAGGGGCACGTGCAGTGGGCTTGTGGAGCCCCCTCCCCCACAGTGGAGGGGCACGTGCAGTGGGCTTGTGGAGCCCCCCTCCCCCACAGTGGAGGGGCCGCGTGCAGTGGGCTTGTGGAGCCCCCTCCCCCACAGTGGAGGGGCACGTGCAGTGGGCTTGTGGAGACCCCCCCACAGTGGAGGGGCACGTGCAGTGGGCTTGTGGAGCCCCCACAGTGGAGGGGCACGTGCAGTGGGCTTGTGGAGCCCCCTCCCCCACAGTGGAGGGGCCGCGTGCAGTGGGCTTGTGGAGCCCCCTCCCCCACAGTGGAGGGGCACGTGCAGTGGGCTTGTGGAGACCCCCCCACAGTGGAGGGGCACGTGCAGTGGACTTGTGGAGCCCCCACAGTGGAGGGGCACGTGCAGTGGGCTTGTGGAGGCCCCCCCACAGTGGAGGGCCGTGTGCAGTGGGCTTGTGGAGCCCCCTCCCCCACAGCGGAGGGCCGTGTGCAGTGGGCTTGTGGAGCCCCCTCCCCCACAGCGGAGGGGCCGTGTGCAGTGGGCTTGTGGAGCCCCCGCAGTGGAGGGGCCGTGTGCAGTGGGCTTGTGGAGCCCCCTCCCCCACAGTGGAGGGGCCGCGTGCAGTGGGCTTGTGGAGACCCCCCAGTGGAGGGGCCGTGTGCAGTGGGCTTGTGGAGCCCCCTCCCCCACAGTGGAGGGGCGCATGCATCCACCGAGGCCCCTCCTTGCAGAGGCTCGGCCGCGCCGTCCCGTCCTCCAGGCCTGCTGGGCAGCCAGTCCTGTGAGGAGGCCGCTGGTCGCACTGGAACCCTTGCCCCAGACGCGGGGAAGGACCTCGTTACGGAGAAGGCAGTCTGCGGGGGCCCTGGGAGTGTCCGGCTCGTGGGACGCAGCCGCGGGCGCAGGCTGCAGGTGTCTGTGCCAGGCCGCCGAGCTCACCGGGGGCCGGGGGCCGACCCCGCTCTGCCGAGCGGCTGTGTGCGGGGGCTGGCAGCTCAGAGGGTGCTGGAAGACTGAAGAGCTGGTGCGGTGAGGGCCTGGTGCTCATCAAGCTGCAGTTTCGTGCTGTGCTGGGATCGTGTCACGTGGTACAGGCCTGGTCCTGCCCGCCCTCAGGCCGCGGCTGGGTGGACGTGAGCTCCGTGCCCCGACCCTAGGATGAAGGCAGTGGCTGGCCGGGGTGAGGGGAGGCTGGGCGGCAAAGCCGAGTGCCCTGTCCTCTGTGAGCCACAGGGAGCAGCAGTGTTGGGGCGCAGCTCCCGTCGCGCGCATCCAGAGAGGGGCTGGGGCGGGGAGGGCTGCGCCGGGGGCAGCAGGGCCAGGAGTAGACGCTCCCCCTTGGGGACACAGCGAAACCGTTCGGTTTGGGCTTCATAGACCCTTTCGTTTGTGAAGGCCGAGTTCCACTGCTTTGCCGGGGGGAGAGATCAGACTCCTGGTTCCCAAGCCCTGTCTGGCGCCGCCAGCAGGGACCCGGACCCGGGGCCGGGGCCAGTGCGGTGCGCCCGCAGCGCTCCCCCTGCTTCCTGTGGTCCCGTGTCCCCGGGCGTGGAGAAGGAAGGCCGAGCCTTATCCACACTCCCACTTTCTGTGTGGTTTCCTCGTGCCAGGCCCGGGAGAGCAGCCGTCACTAAACCTGAAGGGGCCACCGCTGCGGGCACTGCGCCAGGGACCGCGCTCTTACCGCTTGGCCGTTTGGGCTTTGGAACATGAACATAGTAGGTCGGCGCATGTTGACGGCGCTCCTCACTGTGGAGCGTGGTGGCTGACCCCGTGCTGTGCCCGCTGTATCCTGGGATAACCCGGGGCTCAGCACAGGTCTCTCGGGCGGCGTGGTTCTGAAACCCGAAGACTGTAGCTCTTGGTCATAGGTCATCAGACAGACTTTTGAATCCCTGACCCACGCCTGCCAGGGCGAGCGGGAACTGTTAGACTGTCTCTCCCTGAGGCCAGATCCAGCGGTTTCGGCGGGAGGAAGGGGCCCTGCAGCTCCCTGGGGGACTTGGGAGGTGACACCCCAGGGAGGAGCCCCGGGGCCCGACGGCTGGCTGGGGAGGGCGCTCAGGCGGTGGTGCAGTAGGGCCGGGTGTTGAGAGAGGCCGGGGCGGGGAGGGGCTCAGGAGGTGCAGGCTTTAGGTGACTTGGAGTCAGCCGGCCTCAGCCGGGCCCGCCCCTCACAGAGGCAGGTGGGGCTCCAGGTCGGGGCTGGGGACAGCTGGCCTTGGCCTTGTGGAGCGCGGTGGCAGAGTGTTGCAAGCGGAAGCACTTTTCCCCTTTAGATTTGTTTCCCCGAAGGCCAACACCCTGTTCTGAGGTTTGAGGAACTTACACGGACTTTGGACCAGTGGAGGCTGCTCAGGAGTGCGCGGGGCCTGGGGCTGGGGCAGGCCCTGCTTCCTTCTTCGTCGGCGCTCGCTCGCTCGCTCTCGCGCGCTCGCTCGCTCTCTCTCTCTCTCTCTCTCTCTCGCTCTCGCTGTGATTCCGGGAAGGGCCTGTTTGCCCCCGTGAGGTGCTGTGGCCTCCCTGGTCTCTGGTCCCGTGGACAGCAGCAGCTGCCTTCTGTTTGCCCAAGCACTGATTTCCTCACCGAGGAGACGCCCCGGGTGCCCTGGGTGCACGCTGCTGTCAGGGTCTCTTGTGGGCTGACTCGCGGCTCTGCCGAGGGTACACACGCGGCACGTGCGCTGTGTATTAGGTGTCAGGCTTATGGGTGACTCCTGGCACCCTCAGCAGCCTGTGGCACGGCACTGCTGGGGAGGAGGAGGCTTGGGACGCGGGGTGGCAGCTAGGCCTGCGGGCCGCTCGGCTGTGCTGGGCCCTGAGGGTTCCCCCTGGCTCTTTGCCACTTTGGTCTGTTAGCGTGTTGATCATTCTAATTACTTTGTCCTGGACAAAGATGAGCTCTTGCTGTGTTCTGAAGGTGTGTTCTGCTGTATTTTCCTTTTCGTGGCGCTCTCCCATGTGTGTTGCACCTGCCCAGGGTGCCCCTGGAGCAGGCACGCAGCGGGGTCTGCGGGGCCTGGCGGGGGCACGCGGCGGGGGTGGCGCTCAGACCCTGTCAGAGGATGGACTTGGTTTTAATTTTTTTCTTCTATCATAGGTAGAGAAACAGTTCCTTGTTGGCATGCACCTTTATAATTTTGCATCTGTTATTAAACCAATTGTGTCTGTATTTTTGCTTGGTTGATGTGTGTGTGTGTTTTTATAAAGATTTACTTATTTTATTTGAAAGAGTTACACAGAGTAGGAGAGGCAGAGAAAGAGAGAGAGAGGGAGAGAGGGAGGGAGAGAGGGAGGGAGGGAGGGAGAAGTGTCTTCCATCCGCTGGTTCACTCCCCAGATGGCTGCAACGGCTGGAGCTGCACTGATCCAAAGCCAGGAGTCAGGAGCTTCTTCCAGGTCTCCCACGGGGGTGCAGGGGCCCAAGGACTTGGGTCATCCTCCATTGCTTTCCCAGGCCACAGCAGAGAGCTAGACTGGAAGTGGAGCAGCCGGGACTAGAACCGGCGCCCATGTGGGATGCCAGCACTGCAGGTGGCGGCCTCACCAGCTATACCACAGTGCAGGCCCTGTGGTTTTTAAATTCTAAGAAAAACTGGCAATGAGCTGGTACAATACCATGATTAAGTAATAGGGTGCCCCATTTCAAGTTTGTGTATCTATAGTTTTATATATATAGTTGAGTCTATTTCTGAAGCCTGCTGTGGGCTCGTCCCTCTCCGTTCTATTTCTGCTCCAGTGCCACACTGTCGGACTGCTCCCTCGGTTTCTGGGAAGGAGGGAGATCGCCCCTTCCCTCCTTCTGCTCGTGTGAGTTTGCTTTCTGTGTTGACTGAGAGGCCAGGCTTCCTGATAAGGGAGCCGGAAGGCTGCACAAAAGCTAAAATAACACACAGAGGGGAGTGGTTGTCAGGGCCTTGGCCACTTGCTGTTTGATGCTCAGTGCCCCCAGGGAGGCGGGGGGGGGGGGGCAGGGGCTGCTGGTCAGTGCTTTAACTCCCAGTGGGGCTGGGATTAACCCAGGAGTGTCTGGATCTGGACCCTATTCTTTCGTTGTTATTCCGCCCTGTGGCTCAGACGCACGATCAGCTGGTCTCCAGTTTTGACGTTCTAAAGGAAGGCGGCTTTCAGGGTCTCTGCTCTCTGGGAGCGGTGTTGGGCAGGCTGGTGTAGTTACACCTGCTTCCCCTGCCGGCCCAGGCCTGACCCCACACCGTAGCTGCAGGGGTGTGTGTGTGACTGACAGCTGGCAGCTCCGACTCTGCTTCCTGGAAGCGCTGGCTTTAATGTTCCCTTCGCTGATTGTTTCTCGTGACTGAGCCAGGCTCCTGGCCTGGACCTTCACGGCCCTGAACCGTTTTAGAGAAGTGGGGGCTGCCTTGGGTGTTCTGGGTGCCGGTTCTCCTGCTGAGCAGCCGCGTGACCTCGGAGCCCTGGGCATGAGTAAGCATGACGGGACACTTGCGGGCAGGCGTGGCCAGCGTGGATGTGGCTGGGGTAGCCTCGCTGCGGATGGCGTGTGTGGTTCTGTGTTGTCTGCAGGTGGGCCCTCGCGTGTGTGTTGGGAGTGCGCACACTGTGACACAGGTGATCTCTTGATCATTGAGCCCCCCCCCCAGAGGAAAAGAAGGAAGCCCAGCATGGCTGTGCTGTGCCCTCGGCGCTGTCCCCCACGCCAGCTGGGACCGACGGGGGAGCCGTGGTGACAAGGAGTGTCACGCTAGGTGTGCCCGCCGTTTGGGTCATGTGGTGGTCTCTGGTGGAGCACCTGACAGGTTACTCAGTGAGGGGATGTTTATTCTGGCTCATGGTTTTGGAGAGCGGCAGTCGGCAGGCCCCTCTGGTCTGGCACCTGATGGCGTCCTGAAGTGGTGGGAGAAGGCGTGCACTTGTCTCTCTACGTCTCCCTTGAAAGCCCTGCGCCAGCCACCAAATCAATCCTGTGTCCTCCCGATGGCCGCCTGTAGACACCAAGGTTACCTCTTAGTGTCATTTAACAGGCGGCTGTGAGGACCCTGGGGGTCCCCCAGATACGGCATGCTGTGTGTATCATGATGCTATATGTTAGAACTCGGGTTCTGGCCCTGAATCAAAATTTGCCAGTGTGCAGTGCTGGCGTCCCACATGGGCACCAGTTCAAGTCCAAGCTGCTCCACTTCCGATCCAGCTCCCTGCTAATGTGCCTGGGAAAGCCCCGGAAGCTGGTCTGAGTGCTTAGACGCCTGCACCCACGTGGGAGACCTGGAAGAAGCTCCTGGGTTTGGCCTGGCCCAGCCCTGGCCGTTGCGGCCATTTTAGGAGTGAACCAGCAGATGGAAGATCTCTTTCTCTCCACCCCTCCCTCTGTAATTTTGCCTTTCAAATAAATAATAATTAAGTTTTTTTTTTTTTTTTAAATATGGGGCCGGCGCCGCAGCTCACTAGGCTAATCCCCTGCCTTGTGGCGCCGGCATACCGGGTTCTAGTCCCGGTCGGGGCGCCGGATTCTGTCCCTGTTGCTCCTCTTCCAGGCCAGCTCTCTGCTGTGGCCAGGGAGTGCAGTGGAGGATGGTCCAAGTGCTTGGGCCCTGCACCCCGTGGGAGACCAAGAGAAGCACCTGGCTCCTGCCATCGGATCAGCGCGGTGCCGCCGCAGGGCCGTGCGCGGGCCATTGGAGGGTGAACCAACGGCAAAAAGGAAGACCTTTCTCTCTGTCTCTCTCTCTCACTGTCCACTCTGCCTGTCAAAAAAAAAAAAAATATCGGGACATGTAGGACTTGCTCAGTACTTCCTTTAAAGGGGTTATTAGAGGGGCCGGCGCTGGTCATCAGAAGGGCCGGCATAGTGGGTAAAGCCGCCACCTGCAGTGCTGGCATCCCATATGGGCTGCGCTTCCTATCCAGCTCTCTGCTATGGCCTGGGAGAGCAGTGGAAGATGGCCCAGGTCCTTGGACCCTGCACCTGCGTGGGAGACCCAGAAGAAGCTCCTGGCTCCTGGCTTCAGATCGGCCTAGCGCTGGCCGTTGTGGCCATTTGGGGAGTGAACGAGCAGATGGGAGACCTCTCTCTCTGCCTCTCTGTAACTCTGCCTTGCAAATGAATAAATAAATCTTTTTTTTTTTTTAAAGAAGCCCTTTGTGGGAGAAATAGAATTAAAAAAGGGGGGTTATCAGAACATTCCAGCAGTTTGTCAGGGGAGGGGTATTTCTGTTTATAGCCACTTTCTGAATCCCCGCATTTGTGCCTTTCTAGTTTCTCCTTGGACCAAGATGACCGATGGGGACCTTGCCTCCTCCACAAATGGCGTTGGCTTGATGGGCGTTCTGGATGGTGGGCCAGAGAGCTCCCTGCAGACCCTCAGGGCCCCCGAGCGCAGGCCCAGGCTGAAGTCCGGTGCTCTGGAAGACCGGCACAGCCTCCAGTCGGTGGACTCAGGCATTCCTACCCTGGAGATCGGCAACCCCGAACCCGTCCCCTGCAGAGCGGTCCACGTGAAGAGGAAGCAGTCCGAGGCGGACCTCGCCCCCGAGCGGGCCTTCCAGAGCGCCTGCCCCCTGCCGTCCTGTGCGCCCCCGGCCGCCGGCGGTGCCGAGCGCGAGCAGAGCGTGCGCAAGTCCTCCACGTTCCCCAGGACGGGCTATGACTCCGTGAAGCTCTGCAGCCCCACCGCCAAGGCCCTGAGCCGCAGCGACCATGTGTCCGTGTGCAGCGTGTCCAGTCTGGGCACGGAGCTGTCCACCACGCTGTCCGTCAGCAACGAGGACATCCTGGACCTCGTGGTCACCAGCAGCTCCAGTGCCATCGTGACCCTGGAGAATGACGACGGCCCGCAGTTCACCGACGTCACCCTGAGCTCCGTCAGGGAGACCAGAGACCCGCAGCAGCAGGGCTGTGTTGACGAGACCGAGGAGGGCAGTAAACTGAAGATCCTGGGACCGCTTGGTCACTTCCTCACGAGGTAACGCCGTCTTCGTCTCCCTAGAAGGGCGAGGTGATGGAGCGGGAGCCACTTGCCTGGCTGACGTCCGGGTTGCGGGCGTGTCGTGTGTTCCCCTGCCTGGGCGTGCAGGCCCCGGAGCCCTGCGTGTTGCGAACTGGGACAGGTCTGCTGGGCTTCGGCCGCCTGCTTGCTCTGCTGTGTCCCTGCCTCTCTCGCACGGTTGGCGTCACCTCACAGCTCCGAGCTGCACAGGCGGCACCCAGGCGGCCAGCGTCACCAAGTCGTCCGGGCTGAGCAGGGGGTGCTGAGGGGTGGTGTCGCTGGCAGCTGCTCACCCTGCTAACGCCAGCCCCGCTGCCACAGCCCAGGGGCTGCTTCCCGGCCGTGCTGTGGGCCCGGTCCTGCCGCTCAGCTGTGTGCGGTCAGGGTTCCACCCAAGATAGCCCCAGGCCATGCACCCCTCCCATGGTGCTGTCACCTCCCGGGCTGAAGTGCAGCGTGTGTGCATGGCGTGAGCTGCCACTCTCGGGGGGTTCTGGGCCCGGGGCTGGCAGGAGGGAGCACCTCTGTGTGGACCCTGGCTGCCCCATGCGCCCCCAGGGTCAGCCAGGGAGGCCTGTGGGCGCACAGGGTGACTTAGCAGTGTGGCCATCACCTCATCTGCTAGGCACCGCTCTTCTTGGACGGGCCTGAGGCCCGTCCTGAGTGAGGTGACCGCCGATGCTGCCCGTGAGCTTTGGGGCACCTGTTTTTTTTTTTTATTCATTTATTTTAAAGATTTTATTTATGGGCCGGCGCCGCGGCTCACTAGGCTAATCCTCCGCCTATCGGCGCCGGCACACCGGGTTCTAGTCCCGGTCAGGGCACCGGATTCTGTCCCGGTTGCCCCTCTTCCAGGCCAGCTCTCTGCTGTGGCCCGGGAGTGCAGTGGAGGATGGCCCAGGTGCTTGGGCCCTGCACCCCATGGGAGACCAGGAAAAGCACCTGGCTCCTGGCTCTTGCCATCGGATCAGCGCGGTGCGCGGCCGCAGCGCGCCGGCCGGGGCGGCCATTAGAGAGTGAACCAACGGCAAAGGAAGACCTTTCTCTCTGTCTCTCTCTCTCTCTCTCACTGTCCACTCTGCCTGTCAAAAAAAAAAAAAAAAAAAAAAAAAAAAAAAAAAAAAGATTTTATTTATGTGTTTGACGGAGTTACAGAGAGTGAAAGGAAGAGACAGAAAGAAAGGTCTTCCATCTGCTGCTTCACTCCCCAAATGGCTGCAATGGTCGGAGCTGCGCTGACCCGAAGCCAGGAGCCAGGAGCTTCCTCCGGGTCTCCCACGTGGGTGCAGGGCTCCGAGCTCTTGGGCCATCTTCCACTGCCCTCCCAGGCCATAGCAGGGAACTGGATAGGAAGAGGAGCAGCCGGGACTAGAACCGGTGCCCGTATGGGATGCCGGTGCTGCAGGTGGAGGATTAACCTGTGCCACAGCGCCGGCCCCGTGGGGTACCATTTACCTCCGATGTGCCCACAGACAGGTGTCCTGCCACGGATGGAGTTTCCGGTTTCTGAACTCCGCAGCTCGGCAGTTGCCTTCAGCGGAGGAAGCTGGGAGTGTGGGGTTGCTGCCTGTCAGGGCCCCTTCTGGGGCTGCAGCCGTATCGCGGCCGTGTGCCTTAGATGTGTGTGGCCTGGCTCTTCCCTTCACACAGCGGGTGTGGCCGGCGTTCCCAGCTTGTGAGAACACCTGGTGCCTGTTGGCTGTGGGCCTCGGAGCTCCCCCGGAGCCAGTTTCAGAACCTCAGGGCTTGGGCGGGCACCTGCGATGCAGGTTTTCAGCATCAGCTGAGTGCTGGCAAGTCTGGGAGCCCTGCTGGAGATGGGGTGTCAGGGAGGCAGCACTGCGCGATGCAGCGTCCTGCCCCGTGTCCTGGCTGTGGGGCCTTGAACCCGTCCCCTGCCCTCTCCTCGCCCAGTAGGTTCCTCCCAGCCTGCACCGGTGCCTGTGTGCTGCTGGGGTGCGCTGGGCCCTCCCTGCGAGCTCACGCCAGGGTGCTCTGTGTCCCAGCCTCCTCACCTGCGAGACAGGAGGGCGTGGGCATGCCGAGGGTGAACGTGCGTGAAGTTCGCGATGGCCAGGGCTGGGCCCGGCGGCCTGTGGCCTGCAGGGACGTGGCTGAATTGTGCTGTCTGTCCCGGCGCCTGTGCCCCCGGTTACGCGACTTCCAGGTCCTCTCTCAAGCTGCCGTCCCTTGGAAATCTTCAGCCTCGTACTATGCGAAGCCAGCACCTCTTCCGTGCTTCCTCCCTCGGTTCACGGCTTCTCACCGGCTGTGACGTTGCTGTCGTAAGAGCCAGCACCTCTTCCGTGCTTCCTCCCTCGGTTCACGGCTTCTCACCGGCTGTGACGTTGCTGTCGTAAGAGCCAGCACCTCTTCCGTGCTTCCTCCCTCCGTTCACGGCTTCTCACCGGCTGTGACGTTGCTGTCGTAAGAGCCAGCACCTCTTCCGTGCTTCCTCCCTCGGTTCACGGCTTCTCACCGGCTGTGACGTTGCTGTCGTAAGAGCCAGCACCTCTTCCGTGCTTCCTCCCTCTGTTCACGGCTTCTCACCCTGGTGCCGGCTGTGACGTTGCTGTCGTAAGAGCCAGCACCTCTTCTGTGCTTCCTCCCTCCGTTCACGGCTTCTCACCGGCTGTGACGTTGCTGTCGTAAGAGCAGGGGGATTGCAATGACAAGTGCACGTCAGTCCCTTGGGCTGAGTCGGGGGTTCTCTGTCCTGGAGTCTCAGAGTGTTGGCGGTCTCCGTGTAGACGGCCCCTTGTGGGGAAGGAGAATGGGGCCCACTCAGCATCTCACAGGGCGTTAAGTGGCCCAGCGCGGGGCCGCCCCCAGCAGGATGCGTGTGGTTTGTTGCGGGTGCGGCTGGCTCAGGGCGGGTCTTGGTGCCCAGCGAGGGCCTTGCAGCTGTCCTGCTTCTCTGCTTTGCCGGCACTCCCCTGCCCCCTCCCCGCGCCCTCTGTGTCCTCAGTAAGCCAGCCTCTGGGCTGTAGAGATGGGCGGGCAGCCTCGTGGGGGGCCGGGTTCTAGGACTGGGACTGAAGGTGGCCAGGGATCTCGCGACTGGAGGGAGCAGACCTGTCGGTGACCCCGATGCTCCTGAGGCATTCTGGGTGAGACCGAGGCTGGGGTGTGGCCAGATGACCACCCAGGCCTGACCACTGCCTCCCCGCCATGTTTGTTCCTTCTTCACCCACGGTGATGAGCACCTCCCTCTGAGGCTCCACCCAGAGCTGAGTCCCTGCCCCTTACAGCCCATGCAGCCCGGTGGGGGGACGCACAGTGATCTGAGGGGCGGGGCTGAGCAGGTGGATTGCCGGCTGGGGGCTGGGGTGGCTAGGCTGGCTGGATGCGTTGTGAGCCCCTGCTGGAGCTGTGTGACCCTGGACATGTCACGGCCAACCTTGGGTGGGGATGAAAGCACGGCTCAGGGTGAGAGGTCAAGTGCACAGCGTCTGACTTGAGTGTCTTTCTGTGACTCCAGCTTAAGCATTATGGTTTTAAGTAACCCACCGTCTAGCGCCGCCTCTGGCTCTCACCCTCGTGCTGTGCGTGCCGCAGCCACTGGGAGCTGTCAGCCGGAGCGGGTTCCTTCCCCTCGGCGCCGCTGAGATGCTGGGAGGGGTGAGGGTTGCGGGGCCGTTCGGCCTTGGCCCCCGGATGCCAGCAGCACCCTTCGGTTGTGAGAGCCGACATTGCCAGGTGTGCCGGGGCAGGGTGGGGCAGGCGGAGTCCGCAGCCTTGGAGAGCCACGGAGCTGGCAGGTGGAAAATGCTGGCATTTAATCATTTCCTGGGAGGAAGCCCATGGGTGTGATGTGAGTCAGATCCTCACGTGGGCACAGGGGAGGGGGTCTGTGCTACGGGGTCCTCTGAGCCCAGCGGCGATCAGCCGTGTTTGTCTGGAAAGCTGGACGGCAGCCACGAGTGGACTCGAGTGACGTGCCCGTGGAGGGCTGGTTGCCGTGCAGCCAAGGCCTTAACCTGCCCAGGGGCGCTGGCCGGGAGGTACCACTGGCACTGACCTTGCGTGGCCTCTCGTGCAGCCCCTGGGTTAGGCCCTCGGGGTGACGAGCTCCGTGGTGATGTCGGGAGGAGGAGCAGGAGCGCGCCAGAGGAAGCTGCGGGGGCAGGGGGAGCAGCTTGTGGCCGGCTGGCCGTGTGGCCACCTGGCTGTGTTTAAAGAACTGGAATGATGGATTTTTCCAGTCTGTTTCCTGACCTGGCTGAGAGCCCCTTGGGGGCACAGCGTGCGTCTGGTTCACCCCGGCACTGGCTGTTTGTCGTCTGGGCAGGCGTTTGGCAGCGGTCACGGTGCTGGGGACGCCTCTTCCCGTGTTGGAGGACCTGGGTCCCAGCCCAGCTTTGCTTCTCATTTCAGCTCCCTGCTAACGCGCAGCCTGGCAGGCACGGGCGGTGGCTCGATTGCTCGAGTCCCTGCCACCCATGGGAGCCCTGGATTCAGTTCCAGGCTTCTGGGCTGTGGCCTGACCCAGCCCTGGCTGTTGTGGGCCTTTGGGGAGTAAACAAGTGGATGGCAGATTTCTCTGTTGTTCACAAAAAGAAATGAATAGGGGCATGCATTATGGCACAGTGGGTTAAGCTGCTGCTTTTTTTTTTTTTTAAGATTTATTTTATGTATTTATTTGAGAGGTAGAGTTAGACAGAGGGAGAGACAGAGAGACAGAAAGAAAGATCTTCCATCTGCTGGTTCACTCCCCAGCTTCCTCCGGGTCTCCCACGTGGGTGCAGGGGCCTAAGCGCTTGGGCCATCCTCCACTGCTTTCCCAGGCCGTAGCAGAGAGCTGGATTGGAAGAGGAGCAGCCAGGACTAGAACTGGTGCCCATATAGGATGCTGGCGACACAGGCAAAAGCTTAGCCTACTACGCCACAAGGCTGGCCTCCCCCACTTTTTAAAAAATATTTATTTTTTATTTTTATTTTTTGACAGGCAGAGTGGACAGTGAGAGAGAGAGAAA